GTAACCATCACAGTTTGCAACATATGATCACCAAGGTGTGGAACACTGGTTTTCATCATGGAGGAATGCTTGGACTTTCCAACAAGCTGAAGAGCCTCAAAGTACAACTAAAGGAATGGAACATCAGTTGTTTTGGAAACATTTTCTTAAATCTTAAGAAGGCAGAGGAAGCAGCTGTACAAGCTCAACAAGCCTATGATCAGGATCCTAGTGAGAAAAACAGAGAAGAAGACAATAAAGCCAGAGCCAAACTCATTTTGGCATGTGATAATAAGGTCAGCTATTGGAGGCAAAAAGCTAATAGAAATGGATGGAAGAGGGAGATTCAAACTCAAAATTATTCCACTCGTTTGTAAAAGGTAGGAGATCCAAAAATAGAATCAGATCTATTTTGGATAAGGATGGGAAAGAAATTACAGATGAGGAGCTGATCAATAAACAAGCTGTGGAATACTTTGAGAATCTCTTTAATCATAGAAAAGAGATCCTCTTACAACCTGTCATGAAATATATTGAAGCTCTGGTCAATCATGAGGACAAAATAACGTTGTGCAAGATTCCAAACTCTAAGGCAATTAAAAATGCAGTTTGGTCTCTCAACCCTAATAGTGCCCCTGGGCCAGATGGCTTTAATGGTTATTTTTTTAGGACCTATTGGGGTATTATTCAGAAAGATGTTATTAGTGCTACGCAAGAGTTCTTCTTGGGGATCCCCATTCCCAAAAGTTATGGTGCTACTTTCATAAGTCTTATCCCTAAAAAGGATATTCCTAAAGACTTGGGGGATTACAGACCTATATCCGTATCCACCTTCATGAGTAAGATCTCTACTAGAATTCTTGCAGACAGGCTACAAAGGATCCTACCTAAGATTATATCCCCTGAACAGGCAGGCTTCTAGAGAGGAAAAGGTATAGAGGAACAGATACTTCTAGTCGAAGAATTTGTTCACAAAATGGACTACCAAACTAGAGGGGGTAATACAATTTTAAAGTTGGACATGGCCAAGGCTTTTGATTATCTGGAATGGGAGTACCTTCAAGGCATCTTACACAATTTTGGCTTCACAGATCAGGCACAACACCTACTGATGGCTAATCTTAAAGCTACTCATTTCTCAGTTATGATAAATGGCAGTCCAAAGGGTTTTTTTAAGATGGCTAGAGGGGTAAAACAGGGGGACCCACTCTCCCCACTTCTCTTCATCATAGCAGGAGAAGGGCTGTCTAGAATGATTAAGTACCTCATGCATACAAACTATCTTCAAAGATTTAACACTGGAAGGGACCTACTTATAAGTCATTTGGCTTATGCAAATGATATTATTATCTTGTGTAATGGGGGTCTTGGCAATATGACTAGAATTAAGGAGGTCCTTCAGATCTTTATGGCAGCCTCAGGCCAAGAAATAAACCAGAATAAGAGCAGATTCTATTGTGGAAAGGGTGTCAAGCATGACTCAATACCTAAAATAGAGGACAGATTGGGTATGAAACATGGAGCTTTACCCTTCAAATACTTGGGAGCCCCAATCTGTAAGGGGAAACTGAAAAGAAGGGATTGTGGGATGGTTACTGAGCACTTTAGAAAGTACATTGAGAGCTGGTATAGCAAAACTCTAAATCCTATGGGGAGGTTAATTCTAATCAAGCATGTACTTAGCTCTATCCCCCTACATCTGATTGCTGTGCACATTCTTCCGAAGTCTGTTATCAACACTCTACACTCCATGATGAGCAATTACCTATGGGGAGTTGATAACAACAAGCCAAGATATCACTGGAAAAATTGGAAGGATTTATGCACCCCTACAACAGAAGGAGGACTTGGAATTAGAGATCTTAAGGATCTTCAACAAGCATACTCAATCAAGTTATGGGGGAACTTCAGATTCAGTGACAGTTTGTGGGCAAGATTCATGAGGCACAAATACAGCACAGAAAATTTTCAGGAAAAAGTTATTGACTCACCCGTTAGAAAAAGAATCTGTAGAATACATGGGATTGCTGAGGAGCTTTTAGGGGACATTGCACCTGACTTGGAAGATGATCCAACTTATATTCCCTTAAAAGAGGCCTATGAATGCTGCAGGAATTCAGGGGTTATATCCTTAAGGGACAAGTTGAACTGGAGCAACCTACAAATTCCAAAGGTGAGATTTTTCTTGTGGAAAATAACTAATGAGATCTTACCTTTCCCAGAAAATTTAATCAGATTCCAAGTTCACATGCCTTCTCAATGTCCCTTCTGCAAGAAGAATGAAGCTAATATGAACCACTGCCTACTACAATGTGATGAAATCAAGAACATTTGGAGCTTTTATGCAACTATATTAGATGGACCAAGACTGAGGGAGGAGATTAGCTTAAATCAATACCT